AAGTTATTCAGAATGAGTATTATGTTTCAATATAAAACAGCTTTATAATTACAGTAGTTATATTTAGATTAAAAAAATTATATGATTGCATAAAAGTAATCTCAAATAAATACCGTTCAATCTAACAAAAATTTCTCTACAATACAATCATTATTTTTGACCAAAATTAATCCACAAAACAGCCAGGGCGGTTGTCTAGAAGTTTTACAGTTATTTCAATAAACAATTAATGCATAATATAAATGGCTTTGTATATGTGAACCAACGTTTTTAATTCATGTAGAATAATAATAAGGTTATACGACAAACAGATTATGTTTAAACAAATGTAATAATGAAGTTATTAAATATATGATAAAATAAATAAAACAACTAATATGCCATTTTAATCATATATTAAGTACGACATATTAAAAATTAAAATTTACATTATTTACTTTATGGAATATCTTTATTATTAAATATTATTAATTAAGGAATTAGGGAAGCATTTAAATTTAATGATTGACTAATGTAAAACTGTAAACTTATACCATTAGGTTTATTTGAATGTCTGCTTTAACATGATGGTTATTTAATCGGTGCAGAGCCAAAGAGTATACATTTTTAATATAAAACAAAAAAATAAAATTGTTTATTGCATTATAAACATTTATAAAATAAATAGAAATTGTATTAAAAAATTTGCATTTATAATTTTTTATAATATAATGATGTAAAGCATTATACCGTCATTTATATACAAAGCTGAATATTTAATGTATTCTTAAATAATTTCGGCAAGTTTTTGCTCATTTTGATTACTGATATCATGGACAATAATTATTTAGACTCAATATAAACTGATCTTGGGTTAATTATATTCGGACAACAGACAAAAATAATTCATTTGTTTGTGGTTTAATTATTTAAGAGATTCACAGATTTCCCAAATTTTCTAAATATATATCTAATTGTATTATTTTAATAAATAAATAAAAATAATATACAGTTTGTAAGAAAGTTTTTAAACAAAATAAACGCAAATCATTCTTAAGCCAAGAGTTAAGTTATTATTTTCAAATTATATGCATTGACAATTTTAATCTTTAATAATTACAGTTTATAAACCTTTTAATCATAATTATATAATTTATGAAAATTATCTAATTTTATGTAAGATATTTTATATTATGTTTCAATGTTGTATACTTTTTATATAGTATCCAAATTCATTAAATTTATTTAAGATTTGATTAAATTTTATAAATATAAAAATATAATAATTATATATTGATTTAATTTAATTTTTAAATTGTTGGTAATAATTATAAGTTGAGTTACTAAGAAAATATTTAAGTTACTAATTCTATTGCCACCATCAATGCAACCAATTATTTACCTAATGTATACAATTAAATAAAATAATAGTATAATTAAGCATTATTTACAGTTTATTGTGAATATATCCTGCCAAAATTTAAAACAACAATTTTATGTTAATTATTTATGCATGCAAAATAATAACGCAAAATGCAAAAAATTACATTTAAATTGCCAATAAAAAGAAGTCTGAATTTATTATAAATAGTTTTATTTTTTTTAAATATAGCTTAAATTGGTATGCCAAATATATTAGTGAAATTTGTGTTAAATAATTAAATACACTTATGAATTATATAATTGATTTAATTTAAGTTTATCAATAATAAAGCATTAAAAAGAATAAAATAAATAATAAAATTAAGTAAAGTAACTGGGTACTCGATACAAGTCGTTTTGAATAATTAAACACATAAATCTGTTCAAACTCGTAAGGCTCCCCAGTTTGACTCGCCGTATACAAAAGCTGGTAATTATATATAAGCATGGCCATTTCATCCGTCACGGCGATGGGTGGTGTCCACACTTTACGGCATTCATTGACAAAAAAGTTGGCCATAAATTGAGCGACAAGTACTGCGTTTGCCGTATGGGGTATGTGTTTATGTGAGTCAAACTCGTAGGCATTGTGCTCGGGATGCCATATCACACCATAAATGGGTCGCTCGGTGCTCACGGACTCCCACGTGGACACAAACTCCACACCATTTAGGTCGACATTTGTGGACAATATTTTGAATGTGGATTTCAGCTCGGGCGATGAATTGTATTGGTCCATGGTCAGACACATGTAATGATAGTTATGCGTTACGGCCTCTTTTTGCAATATCTGGGGATTGAAGTTGCAATATATTTTATAAATAACAACAATAAATAATTTTATGCAATAATATTATTATGACCATATATTAATTATAGTCATGTATTGAAATTTTAAAAATTGAATGTCTTGGCCAAAAAATTCTCTACGGTCCATTTAGAAGTACTCTATAATTATGACCAGAATTTATTACAATTCGTTAGCTAATTTTAATAAATGGATAACAATAAGTGGATAACAAGAATACAATAGCGTTATTTTAGATACGTTATAAAATAGTAAAAGGATCTACCTCAATAATAGTGGGATCGGCACCAGAAAAGAGCCTGCTCTCTTTAAAGCCCATGGTCATATTGAGTGGAAGGGCAACGTCGTAGGCAGAGCACAGGGGCAAGTCGGGCAATTTAGACATAAATAGCGCTAGAAATTCAAAGCCCTGACACGTGGCCCATATTGGATACGGACGACTGGCATTAGCATGGGCATATTTTATGAGTTGAGCGCTGGCCAGCGCATAGCCACTGGTACGCAAATCTACATCACCGCCGGGTAATAGCAATCCGTTGGTCATTTCAATCATACGCTTGTAATACTCATCCGTTTGATTGACCATAATTGGCACCTGTAGTTGGCATTAATAAATAAATAATAGTTATATTTATATGAGGTTAATATAAAAATATAAATACTGTACTGTTGTATTAATTCACAAATACATACCACCCGAGCGCCGGCGCCCTCCAAGTATTTCACATAACTGGCCGCTATGTATGACTGAGTGACTGGACTCGCGTACCATATCTTCTGTGCTAATACACCAACCAATGGCCGGTCCATTAAGCCGTCGGATACACTGTTATGTTGAATAATAGCCGAAAATGTAATTAAGGTAATTGTTATATACAAAGTAAACATGTTTGTCTTTATAGTAAATATTTTTATATTATCATTAATTAAAACAAACTATTTTAATAGTTTATTTAGAATAAGTTTTATGTTTAAATATAAATTATTTAATAAATACAGTAGTTATATTAAATGTTTTATTAAATCATAAGAAAACTATTTAACAAATTGCAATCTATAAAGCTTTAAAATTTATTAGTTTATTACAATGTGACATGAAGCTTATATAAGTTAAAAATAATTTAATTAATGGTTACTATAATAAGATAAATAAATTAAGTTCCATTAGGTTCATTATCGTTTTAACAATTATAACATAATAATTATGTTTTACTATCATTACACTAAGAGAACTTTAGTGCATTAATTAAGTGTACATTTAATTGTCCATAATAAATATCTATGAATTTTTATTTCAATATTTGCTAACTTTAGGTAAAAATATTTACAACAAAAAATATTTTATTTTATTAAATTATAAATTATAATAATTAATAATCTACATAAATATAAAATAATCTGTTATTTGTGTAAATATTTTTTGTAATATCTTATAATTTTATATTTAATTTTAATTTATAAATTATAATAAATAAAATCAATTATAAGATGTTTATATTTAATATTTTTAGAACATAAAACTATTTATGTTGTAAAATATAATAAATATAATTAATTACAAATGTTAAAATTATTGCAAAAAATATATATGACCATTCTTCATTGCCCATTGTTAGCCACCACAGCTTTTTTGTTATTTTGTCGGGTATTATGTCTGTCTGCAGCCAGACTTTTAACCGACACCGGGTGCAATCACACCCAGGGTAGTTGTGTCGACATTTGCTATCTGCAAGTTAAATACAGTATTGTATTTAAAGCTATTAATGTTTCTAACATTAATGCTATATCAATGGGCATTGCGGGCCATATATTATGAATAAAAAATTTTACTATATCTACAGAGTTTGTTTAATTTTTATTTCAGTACAGCTTATAGCAATTTATATTTTACATACACCGTTTATAGTAATGGTACAATAGTAATGATATGATTAAATATTGAATTATAAAGTTTATTAAACATTACTTATTTTGCATAAAATACAAATATTTTGTAAATAATTTAAACTGTAAACTTTACTACTGATTAACAATTAGTAAGTTAAACATTAGCAATCTAAGAATTAATGGAATAACGACCCAATACATTTTTAATTCTTATTATTACTTATTAAAATTTTAGTAATGCTTAATTTTTATTTCTTAATCAAATTAAAACAATTTAAAATGAATCAATACACATTATTAAATTAATGTTGTGTTACATTAAACACATATATCTGTTCATAAGTGTAGGGTTTGCCAGTTTTGCTAGCAGTATACTGGGGTTGGTAATTGTAAATAAGCATGTTCATTTCGTCCTTCTGGCTTATAGCCGGTGTCCACACTTTACGGCATTCATTAACAAAAAAGTCTGCCAAATACTGACCGACACGTACCGCGTGTGTCGTATGGGGTATGCGTTTATGTGCGTCAAACTCGTATGAGTTTTTCTCGGGATGCCATTGAACACCATATATGGGTCGCTCGGGGCTCAGGGACTCCCACGTGGACACAAACTCCACACCCTATGGGTCGGTATTTGTTGACAGTATCTTAAATTCAGATTTCAGCTCGGGCGACGAATTATATTGGTCCATGGTCAGACATTTTATGTGATGGTTGTATGTTACCGGCTCTTTTTGTAGTATCTAGATTATGCAGTTGGAATATATTTTTAATTACTGTATATTCAAATTTTTGTATAGTTAACATCTAGTAAAATAATTATCTAGGCGGTTAATTCACTAAATAACTTTTATAATTATTTGCATTATGTCATGTTACAAAAACCATATTTTATGCAATTTAATAATTTGTATAAACTAATTAATAAAATTAGATTAAGTTACAGTTCCTTAACTAATAAAACTTACAAATATAAGTTTTAAATTTATATCTAATTTTGCATTACCAGTAAATAAGTATAACAATAATTTTATTTAACCTTAATTAACAAAACGCAGCAATATATTATACTATAAATTATAAACTTCTTCATAAATATATGATCAAATAATTATATAATCCATGAAGGTAAAAAAACATATCTAGGTCGAATTGATGAGCTCTTGTTTACCGCCAATTCATATAAAAATTATTTTGATTTAATAAAACACTGGATTAATTTTATATATACTACAGTTTCTAAACTAAATAAAGAATAAAAATTAATAAACACAAAATTGTAATGTTTTATCATTATAAGACTATATTATTTACTTCAATCAAAGCGGGATTGGCATCGGCAAACATCCTACTCTCCTTAAAGTTCGCAGTCATATTGAGTGTGAGGGCTACATCATTAGTATTGCACGCGCCCATCTCGGGTATTTTTGACATTAACAATGACACTAGCTCAAAACCTAAACAAGTGGTCCATATGGGATACCTGCGTATGGTATTAACATGAGCATATTTTAATAGCTGTG